ATGGAAGAGCAGGGGAGGGCACCAGTGGTGCTGGAAAACCGTTGCTGTCCTCAACCAAAAGCCTGGCAGAACATCTCTGCCTTTGTCAGATTCGGGCATTTGGCCAGCTGTACCTGTTGTATTTCGACCCAGTGAACTTGAGCTGATTGTATCCCGCTTGCTTCCTGCACCCCACCATTTGTTTAGCTTGCAACTCCCTGCTCCCTTATCACTTGCCCTCGCCTGCCATTGTATTCCTGGGGGGGGGGGGGGGGAGTGAATGCCTGTAGTAATTTAGGGAGGCTAGCTTCGGTAACTCTTCCTTGAGGCCTCAAAGACACCTTTCACAGGGGAAGTGTCCTTGAAGCAGAGTCTGTGCCTGGCTAGTTGTTGACCGTATATCTTTCATGGTCTTGTAGTAATGCTGACGTGTATGAATGGAATTTCAGGGTTTTACTTATACATGGCTTTCCCGCCTTTGCACCCCAGTCCTGACAAAGCGTTTGAACCCATAGCATCTCATATCTCTAAATAAAGCATTCACTGAAGAAAGTGCGTGTGGAGAGTGATTTGACTGGGAACCCGACAGCCTTACAGACCCTGCGGAATTGCATTAAGTCCCACAGGCCCCTGGTAGTATCTGGCTTCCTAACCTACAAAGCTTTGACTTTTGCTCTGTGTATAAAGGGAAAGGGAGGCAGAGATGGCAGGGACCATTCAAACATGAGAACAGGTTCATGATCATCATGCACAGATGTTTCTTGTATGTGTGAACACCACAGGTAATTGCTGGGGGATATACATTTCTTCTAGAAATGCGTCTCAAGTGCATGCCATGCTCCCTTCTGGACTCAGCTCACCACAGTTACACTACTGTCTGTCTGAAACTTGGCTCAGCTCCCGTGTGTTGAGGTAACCTTTCGCTTCCTTAGGTTCCCAATCCCAGTGACCTCAGGGCATCAGCATGCTGTTTAACGTGAATGGCAAAACAGAATACACACACACACACACACACAAAATGAGCTGTGGTGAGAAAGATAAAACATAAAAGCCATGAAACACCTCCTCAAAGTGTTAAGCGTCAGGAATATTTGCACAACCTGCAATAAAAAGCAGGGAAAACCAGGCCATGGGTGAAAGGCCACCGACACTTCTCGGATGACTTAATAGCTGCGAATTCACAATGCTGACAAAATATTTGCACATATTAATGCTTTAGGGTTCCTGTCCTTGGTATCCTGTACTACTTAAGGAAGATCCAGTGCCACTTCTGCTTAAGAAAGAACAGCTCTGCTCTCCAGAGCAAAACTCCTGTTTGCCAAACTTTAATCTGACAGCAAATCCTTCAAGGACTTGGTTTGACAAATCCCTCTGGTATACCTGCTTTCCAACACTGCTCAATTTTGCTTTGGCTCTGCTGAGAGCTGCCTCAGACATTAAGGGCAAGAATTCCCGCTGCTCTCCCCACCCCAGTTCAACCCCTTCCACGTTCAGAAGCAGCTTCATCAGAACAGGGTTTTGTTGCTGTTTTTGCTGTCGAGTTACAGCTTGGCTTCTGGAGACCCTGTAGGGTTTTCAAGGCAAGAGATGTTCAAGACATTCAGAGGTGGTCTGCCATTGCCTGCCTCTGAATCCTGCCCCTGGTATTCCTTGGAGGTCGCCCTTCCGAATACTAGCCAGGCCCAACCCTGCTTAACTTCCAAGATCTAACAAGATCAGACTAGCCTGGGCTATCCAGGTCAGAAATGGTAGGCCGCAGCTATTCCCCAGCAGCATCCTGTGAGGTTTCTCAGGCCCCAACACAACCTGGTCCCCTAGCCCCGGCTATAAAAAGAGTTCTAATAAACTTAATTATATGAAATCAGTAGTTTGGGGAGTGGGGAGGAAGTAGGGTTGCCAAGTCGAATCTTCTTACTGGCGGGGGATCGTCGCCAGGCTCCGAGAGCTCTCCTCTGATGCGCGTGCAAAGTGCACGCGCACCGCCAACACGTTCCGGAAGTGACACGTGACGTCGATCACGTTGGGGGCGTGGCCCCGATTGTCGGAGGGAAAACCATAGAGTTTTCCCTCCGACGATCGGGG